CTCCCTGAAAAGCCTTCAGTTAATCCAAAATGCTGCAGCAAGAGTCCTGACAGGGACTAGAAAGAGAGAGCAGATTTCTCCTGTTTTGGCTTCCTGTTAAATCCAGGATTCAAATCCTGCTCCTCACATACAAGGTCTTAAATAATCAGGCCCCATCTTATCCGGCCGGAGACGCAATTGCAAGTTTGCAGCGTCCCAGATGCAGCCCCCCCATCTCTCTTCCACAGCATGTCTTTATCCTGTCTTCCTTCTCTCACCCCAATCAATCACAGCAGATGGCCCCGCCCCTCCCTGAGCCTGGTTCTGCTGGAGGTTTCTTCCTGTTAAAAGGGAGTTTTTCCTTCCCACTGTCACCAAACTACTGCTCATAGGGGGTCATATGATTGTTGGGTCTGTATGGATCATTGTAGGCTCTACCTTACAATATAAAGCTCCCTGAAGCGACTGTTGTTGTGATTTGGCGCTGTGTAAATAAAATTGAATTGTTGTTGGAGGGAGCGGACGGTTACCAGACATCCTGGAGGAAGATTCTCGACCAACACTTTAAACTTCTCGTCAACCAGAGCCCCCCTCGGAGTGACGGAGAGAATCGGAGGAAGAACCTGGGTCGTGGCTGACAGCAGTCTGTGGAGAGAAACTGTGACTACGGAGTCATATAGGACAGGTTAAAGTTTTCTGTGACTGAAACTTGGCTTAATCCTGGTGATTTAAGCCCTTCTCTGAACTCGTCCCCTCTAACTCCCCACAGGAAACTGGTCACGGCGGAGGTCTTGCAACTGTTTTTAAAAACTGTTTTAAATGCCGACAGCTCAACGTTGATATTTATGGCAGCTTTGAACTCTGATTATTTCTGTTGGATCTGCATTCGCCTGTGCTGTGTGCACTTGTTTATCGTCCTCTGAAGTTTAACAAGGATTTTATTCAAGACTTTTCTGTCTTTTTATCAGGGATATTACCAAAGGTGAGAATTTGCATGATCACGATGAAGGAACTGACCTCCAGCCCATTGTTCCTCAGTGGGCTGGTTTCAGTCAAATGTCCTGTTGATAAGATTGAAACCTGCAGTCAGCTGAGACTGAAGGAGTCACCTGATGATGACGAAACGTTTCTCCCGCTGAAAATGTCCAGATGAACAGAATCAACCTTTGGAGATTGATTGATTGAAAGTTCTGCTGAAGTTCATTACTTCATGCCTTCTTCTCTCTTGTGCGCTGCCCATTGCTTTGCTGGATGATTGCAGGTATTTGCCTCATCCAGCCTCACTGCCTAATGGAAATACACACTGTTGTCTCAATAACAGCTGGAAGCCTGAGCTGTAAAAGCTCATTTCCTTCTTGCACTGGAAGCACAAAGCAGCCAGGCAGAAACCCACCTGTGGCTGGTTGGAGTACACTCCTGCAGGATCTGGTCCGGCGTTTTTATGAACCTCGTAAGCCCGGTACAGTTGTGCCAAGCTCAGGTGATCCAGCAGAGGAGATAACTGCGCCTTCTGGTACCAACATGAAGATGTCTATTCAGGTATTATCTTACAACTGTCGTGGTCTACGTTTGGGACAGAGTGCAGAGGATAGAGCTCGACGGATTGTTGTGGACAGTACTTGTGCAATATGACATAAAGTACGATGCTGTTAAAAGTGCTGTTTTGATCTGTAAAACCAAGCTGGATAAACAGCTAAACTTCCCTTTGTTTAAACTGCCCCAAAAAACTCTTGAAGTTCATAAAAAGGTGAAATACCTCGGTCACTTTATTACTGAGCAAATGAATGATGATGATGACATATACAGACA